TATATTTGTTTGGAAACCTGCTTTTCTTCAAGATTTATGTCAATCGTTTCATGGTCCAGGATGACTCACTGGTGCCAATGTTATCTCAATGCATGTTGTGGGTGAGGGCTCTGGTGATATTCTCTGAGTTTTGAGACATTTCCTTCTCTAATTAGCAGATTGCTAGTAGCTAAAAAATATCCAGTTAGTCTTTAGCAGTGGGGCACTCTTTCTGCCCCCTTCTGATGTCTATGTCAGAAGCTTTCTCTATCTCCTTTATACTTTAATAAAACTTTATTACACAAAAGCTCTGAGTGATCAAGCCTTGTCTCTGGCCCCAGATTAAATTCTTCTCCTTTGGAGGCCAAGAATCCTGGTGTCTTTTTTTTTGGTTCAGCAGCAACCTTTCAGAGAGACATGCAGCATTCATTGACTGGAAGACTTAATATAGTAAAGACATCAATTCTCCCCAAAGTGATCTCTAGGTTTAAAACAATTAGTACAAGGTGGTTTAGTGGTAAAAAATCTGCCTGCTAAGGCAGGAAATGCAGGAGATGTGGGTTCCATCCCTGGGTCATGAAGATCCCCTAGAGAAGGAAATGGAAACCCACTGCAGTATTCTTGCCTGGGAAATCCCACGGACAGAGGAGCCTGGCGGGCTACAGTCCATGGGGTCACAAAGAGTCAGACACGACTTAGTCAATAAACAACAACAGTGCACTCATCAGAATATTAAATACCTGTAAAGCATTTACAGGGCTTCCCAGTTGGCTGAGTGGTAAAGAATCACCCTACCAATGCAGGAGTCTCAGGAGATGTGGGTTCAATCCCTGGGTTGGGAAGGTCCCATAGAGTAGGAAATGACAACCCACTCCAGTATTCTTGTTTGGGAAATCTCATGGACAGAGGAGTCTAGCAGACTACAGTCATAAAGAGTTGGATATGACTGAGTACACACACACACACATACACCCAGGAAGATTTTTCATAGATATAGAGAAGCTTATTTTAAAGTTTGTGAGGAAATTCAAAGTAACTCTGATAGCTAAAACAATTTTGAAAAAGAATAAACTGAGAAGAATCACTCTACCTAATGATAAGATTTGTTATATAGATATAGCAAATTGAGACAGTGGGATATTAGAGGAATGAGAGACACAGGTCAGAGGAAACAAAGAAAGAACCCAGAAACAGACCAACACAAATATACCCAACTGATTTTTGACAAAGGTGTAAAAAATTTCAATAGAAGAATACCTTTTTTTAAAAATGGTGCTTGAACAATGGAACATCCACAGGCAAAAAGAAAAAAAAAAACCCTTCAATCTGAACCTGACATCAGATACAAAAATTAACTAAAAATGAAACATGGACTTAGGCATAAAATATAAAACTATAAAACTTTTAGTGGGAAAACATGAGGAAAATCTTTGAGACCTCAGTCTTGCTGAAAAGATCTAAGACCAAAAACCATAACATACATCACAACATACTGTGGAAAATCCTTAAAGAGATGGGAATACCAGACCACCTTGCCTGTCTCCTGAGAAGCCTGTATGTAGGTCAAGAAGCAACAGTTAGAAGTGGACATGGAAAAATGGAATGATTCAAAATTGGGAAATGAGTACATCAAGGCTGTATCCTGTCACCCTGCTTATTTAACTTATATGCAGTGTATCATGCAAAATGCCAGGCTGGACAAAGCACAAGCTTGAATCAAGATTGCCAGGAGAAATATCAATAACCTCAGATATGCAGATGATACCACTTTAATGGCAGAAAGCAAAGAGGAACTAAAGAGCCTCTTGATGAAGGTCAAAGAGGAGAGTGAAAAAGCTGGCTTAAAAGTCAACATTCAAAAAACTAAGATCATGGCATCTGGTTCCATCACTTCATGGCAAACAGATACGGAAAAAACGGAAACAGTGGCAGATTTTATTTTCTTGGGCTCCAAAATCACTGCTGATGGTGACTGCAGCCATGAATTTAAAAGACGTCTGATCCTCAGAAGAAAAGCTATGACAAATCTAGACAGAGACATCACTCTGCTGACAAATGTCCTAGACAGAGACATCACTCTGCCGACAAATGTCCAAATATCAAAGCTATGGTTTTTCCAGTAGTCATGTATGGATGTGAGAGCTGGACCATAAAGAAGGCTGAGCACTGAAGAATTGATGCTTTTGAACTGTGGTGCTGGAGAAGACTCTTGAGAGTTCCCTGGACTGCAAGGAGATCAAACCAGTTAATCCTAAAGGAAGTCAACCCTGAATATTCCATTGGAAGGACTGAAGTTAAAGCTGAAGCTCCAACCTGATGCAAAGAGCTGACTCATTGGAAAAGAAAAACCCTGATGCTGGGGAAGATTGAGGGCAGGAGGAGAAGGGGGAGACAGAGGATAAGATGGTTGGATATATCATCGACTCAACGGACATGAGTTTGAGCAAACTCTGGGAGAGAGCGAAGTACAGGGAAGACTGGTGTGCTGCAGTCCATGGGGTCGCAAAGAGCTGGACATGACTTAGTGACTAAACAACAAAGGAAAAAAACATTATTAATTGGATTTCACCAAAATTAAGAATTCTTGTGCTGTAATATAGCCCGTTAAGAGTATTAAAAGACAAGCAACAGATTTGGAGAAAATATCTGCAAACCACATGCCCAACAAATAATTGGTATCTAGAATATATAACAAATTCTCACAACTCAACAGTAAAAAACAAATGATACAATTAGAAAACGAGCAAAAGACATGAAGAGAATCTCACCAAAGAAGACATACAGATGGCAAAGTAGCACATGAACAGATGTTCAATATCATTACCTAATTAGAGTAATGCAAATAAAAACCACAATAAGCTATGATTATGTACTCATTAGAATGGGTAAAATATAAAATAGTAATACCAAATGTTAGCAAAGCTGTGGAAAATAGGATCTTCTATACAATACTGCTAGGAATGTAAAATAGTAAGGCTCTAGGAATCATTCTAGCAGTTTCTTATAAAACTAAACACGCATTTACCATAAGACCCCACAAGTAAACTCTTGAGCATCTATCTCAGAGAAATGAGAAGAAGCTGTGGTGCGTATACACAATGCAATATTACTCAGCTATAAAAAAGAACGCACTTGAGTCAGTTCTAATGAGGTAGATGAACCTAGAACCTATTATGCAAAGTGAAGTAAGTAAGGAGAAGAAAGACAAATATCATGTATTAATATATATATATATATATGAAATCTAGAAATATGGTGCAGATAAACCTATCTACAGGGAAGCAATGGAGATGCAGACATAGAGAACAGACTTTTAGACACAGTGAGGGAGAGAGAAGGGGGATGATTTAAGAAAGTAGCATTGAAACATATATATTACTATATGTAAAATAGACAGCCAGTGGGATTTTGCTGTATGACACAAGGAGCTCAAATCAGGTGCTCTGTGACAACCTAGAGGGGTGGGGTGGGGAGGGAGGGGGGAGAGAGGTTAAAGAGGGAGGGGACATATACATAGCTATGGTTGATTCATGTTGCTGTATGGCAGAAACCATCATAATATTGTAAAGTAATTACCCTCAGGGCTGGTGCACTGGGAAGACCCAGAGGGATGGGGTGGAGAGGGAGGTGGGAGGGGGGATCGGGATGCGGAATACATGTAAATCCATGGCTGATTCATGTCAATGTATGGCAAAAACCACTACAATATTGTAAAGTAATTAGCCTCCAACTAATAAAAATAAATGGAAAAAAATAAAAGATTAAAAAATCCTGTATATGAATAATCAGAGCAGCTTTATTGGTAATAGCAAAAGCAGGAAACAACCCAAATGTCCTTCAATTAGCAACTGGATAAATAAACTCTGGTACATCCATCCAGTAGAATACTACTCAGCAATAAAAAGGAACAAACTATTAATACAGTGACTAGGATGGACCTCCAAGGGCATTTCACTTAGTGAAAAAAGTCAATCCCCAAAGGTTACATATTATAGGATTCCATTTATATAAATGCCAAACTATAGAGATTGAGAAGAGATTAATTGTTGCCAGGGTGTAAGGATGGAGCTGGGGGCTGAGAATACAAAGGGGTAGCACAAGGGAGCACTTTTGAGATAACTGAAAGTGTTAGTCACTCAGTCCTATTTGACCCTTTGAGACTCGGGACTGTAGCCTGCCAGGCTCCTCTGCCATGAAATTCTCCAGACTGAAGTGGGTCGTCATTCCCTTCTCCAGGGGATCTTCCTGATCCAGGGATCTTACCCGGGTCTCCTACATTGCAGGCAAATTCTTTACCATCTGAGCCATCTGAGATAACTGAACAGTTTTATATATTGACTGTGGTGGGGATTGTACAAATCTAAACATGAGGTAAAATTGTATAGAGCTACATGCACACACAAAATCAAAAGTATGTAAAAAGTGATGACAACTGAATAAGGTCTATAATCTAATTAACAATATCGTACCAATATCAATTTCCTGGACTTGACATTTTACAGTTAAATAAGATACCATCATTGGGGAAACCTGATGACAAGCACATGGACCTCTAAGCACTATTTTACAACTTCCTGTGAGGCCATAATTATTTAAAAACAAAAAGGTTTTTTTAAAAAAGTTGTTGTGGGATTTCCAGAGTTTCAGAAAGTAGCCTTGGTGACTTTAATTATTAGAATCATTCCATGCTAGTTCCTTTTCATGCACAGCTAGAGTAGTTTAAAACTTCCTCTTCCTTCTGGAAAGTTTTGCAAACGTGTTCAAAGGAACTACACCAGTGCTTCTTTTTAAAAATTCTGCCAGCTTTTTTATAATATAGTTTAAAATGTGAACACAGTAAAAAGAGATCACTACTATTTTCTTGGACCCTAAAGACTTTCACATATGTAGGTTACAGATCTATTAATATTTACTATATTCAAAATAAAAACTGAAAATATCTAAAAATATTTATTAATTCATTAAAATAACAATAAATCCACTACATGTTAACATAAACAATATATTTTATTAAAATAACTATTTTGTAAAATAAAAAAATTATTTAGAAATGTTTTCTTTTTTGAAAAGCTCTGTAATGTTTGCCTTAATATAAGACAGCTAGACTCTCTTACTTGCTTCATCACTGTGATACGGTTGTGGTTACTTTGGTTGACATATATGAAGAAAATTCAACCTTATGGAGATATGTAGTGGGAAAAAGGAGGAGTTTCCAGGCCCTTTGAATGGATTTCAGGTGTCAGGTTTCTCCAGGGTCCTCAGACCATACTTGGAGAATCACTATGCTGGAGATACATACTGAAATATTTACAAAGGAAATGTTAGGATGTCTGAAATTTGTGTTAAAATACCTCAACACACACACACATCAATTCTCATTATATGGGGTAGTTGTGTCCAATAAAATTACCTTGAGCAGTGAACTAGCAAATACTGAGCCACTGCTCCTAGTGGACATACAGGGTGACATTCCTGCAAACCTGGTCACATTCTCATCAACCAATGAACATATAATCTTTTTATGCCACTTTATTTATTTAAATTGAAGGATAATTGCTTTACAGAATTTTGTGGTTTACTGTCAATCATGAACAAGAATTAGCCTTAGGTACACTTGTGTTTCTGTTTAAAGACATCTCATTTTATAGTTCTTAAAATAATGAATTATATATGCACTATTCCTTTTTCATAGTGAGAAGGGTCTAACATTTTCCTGACCTGAGTAACAAGATCTTAAATTTCTTTGGCTCTCAGCCTCAAAACAATGTTGTTTATTATGCTTTGTAAAGTTTGGTTGCCATCTTACAAATCCACAAATTTAGCTAGTTATCCATCTTTTCCATAGTTTCATTGCACACAACAGATAGTATTTTAGTGATTTCTGGATGGTGTCACATATAGGTCAGCAAATTTCCTCTTCCCTTTTCTGGATGTACCTTATTGTTAAATCAAGAAATTGAATTCACAGCCAACATCACTGTAACTCATGCCTGAAGGAAGCTTATCTAATACATGCATTTTTCTCTGTAAACCACATCACAGTCTTCTTATTATGTCAGCTTCTGAACTCTGTTCACTCCCTTACCTTCATTGAGGGATAGGGCATCCCAACTAATGTCTTCTTTCCTACCCTCAAGTTTTCCTATTACCTAATTTCAAGTTCCATGTTTTCACTCATGCAGTACCCTGGCCTCTCATTCTCTTGATTTTCTTGTCTGTCTCCAATGACTTTCTTCCATGTTCATACCCTGAACTTTGTGATCACCTAGAATTCTTTATCTTTGAAATAGTTTAGTCTACTTCTGTCTCTCCAGCTCATTCTCTCTCTTATTCACACTACACTAATTCTTCAACCTTATCAAGACCTCCTTGATCCCTTCATTTTTCTCCCAGTATGGCTTATCATTTTCCTTATTTTTTACTTTATAGCTTATAATCAATCACTTTAACCTCTCTGACCAATACTCTCACCAAACCTTGACCTAAGACATCAGCTCTGAATCCACGCAAGGACAGTCTTTTCTCTTTATGCCATGCCTTTAAGAACTGAGAGAATATATCAGGCTTTCCAGGTGGTTCAGTGATAAAGACTGTACCTGCCAACTCAGGAGACACAGGAGATTCGGGTTCAATTCCTGTAGGGAAGATCTCTCGGAGGAGGGCATGGCAATCCACTCCAGGATTCTTGCCTGGAGAATCCAATGGACAAAGGAACCTAGTGGGCTGCAGTGTGTATCCTTAAAGAAAATATCATAGGTACAATGATCTCTCACTTTTGTGGTTTTCAATCCAATAATGCATGGAAATCCACCAGGCACAAAATCCACCAAATTTTAGTCAGTTCCTGCTCTCACTTCTCAAAACAGTTCTTCCAAATCTTCATTACCATCCTCAAGCCCAATACCTATTTCTGCTCACAACATTCTCAGCAGACAGAATAAACTCTTAGTTAACAGGAAAAACAGAACTAAGGATGGAAATTCTAGTCACTTCCTGGTCCGGGTTAAGTGAATAAGCCAAAGAAAGTGCCGCAGTCATCAATGCTTGGGAGATCCATTACTGTCTAACTAACCTTCATATATTCTCTCAATTCCAGTAATAGGAAAGCCTGACATTTTTAAACATCCAGAAGAGGGCAGACATCTCTTATTTTAGAGACTGAAGTGCCCCACTACCCTTATGCCTAACATCAGCTCCTCTACTTGAGTTTTGAATCTCATCCCTTCCCTTCTCGAAATCTCACACATCAATCATCTCCCCTCTCTTCTGTATCTTCAACTTTCTCCATCTCCTAGCTCCCTCCACCAAAACATGTAAATATTCTCAAGTCTCTACCACCTTAAAAAAAATCTACCCACAATCTTATGAGACCTTCTAGCTGCCATCTGATCTTTCCCTTTCCAAGCTTACTGGAAGTATAACATGCATTTACAATCTCTATTATTTCAATGCCCAAGTGAAGTGAAGTGAAAGTCACTCAGTCATGGCTGGCTCTTTGAGACCCCATGGACTATACAGTCCATGGAATTCTTTAGGCCAGAATACTGGAGTGGGTAGCCATTTCCTTCTCCAGGGAATCTTCTCAACCCAGGGATCGAACCCAGATCTCCCCCATTGCAGGCTGATTTTTTACCAGCTGAGCCACAAGGGAAGCCCAAAAATACTGGAGTGGGTAGCTTATCCCTCCTCCAGTGGATCTTCCTGACCCAGGAATCGAACCAGGATCACCTGCATTGCAGGCAGATTCTTTACCAACTGAGCTATCAGGGATTCAATGTCCAATGTTCCAGTTATACACTGCTGTTTAATAAACCACCCCCAAACACAGGAATGAAAACAATAAGCATTCTTTTATTGTCATGATTGGGTGGATGAGAAATTTGAGCAAGTCTTACTGGACAATTTTCCCGCCCCATATGGCATCTACTAGACTCACCTAGTGATGTCCAGCTGGTGGCTAAGTTGATCTGGTGGAGCCAGGATGGTTTCCTTTATGTCTGGTGCCTTGGTAGAGATTTCTGGAACCCTGGGTGCAGCTAGGTTTCATGCTCTGTCCATGCTGTCTCACAATCTCTCCATGTGGTCTCTCTAACAGGGTGATGAAACTTCTTAAATGATTGCTCATAGCCCTAAAGACCAAAGTGAAAGTGGCAAGGTTCCTTATGACCTAACCTTGTAAGTCAAGCAGCATCACTTCTTGCATTCTATTAGTTAAACTTACATAGAGAGCTCACCAGATTCAAGACCAGGTGAATAGACAGGGGTATGATTACTGAGAGGAACTGTTAACAGGGAACATGGGATAAAGTCTACCACACTCTCACACTCCTCAAATTGCAATGTAACAATGCCCCATACTACTGAAACTGCGATCCCTGAGGTGAAGACCTCTTAGTTGTTAAATCCAATGCCTGCTTTTCAGTACTTGCTTTGTTTGCTTTTTCTGCTGAACTGGAATCTACTGACCACTAACTCATTCATGAAATTCTCCTCCCCTGTTTTTTGTATACCACCTTTTCTTGTGTGCCTTGAATTTTTCTGGTTGTTTCTTAGTCTCCTAAAGTGACTCATTTCTTATGGTTTTCCTTTAACTACTGGGCCTTGTTATCAATTGTTTTCTTACTCTGTTATCTGGTTATATCATCTACACCCATGGACTCATCTATCACTTAGCCACCAGAGATTCTGCATTATACATCTCCATCCCAGCTCTCTCTCCACTAACCCAGACTCATATGCACTCAGACTGAATGTCCCACAAGTTCCTCAAACTTGGCCATGAACTCACAGGGCAGTTTCCCAACAGTTCAAACTAAAAGAACTGAATAGAAATTTTGGCTCCTACTTATTGCAGGGGAAATTGAGTATAGAATCTGAGTTCTGTCAAGTTAACTACCTGCTAAAACAAAAAAATCAATACTCTTCCGAGGGACACAATGGAATCCAGATTCTCTACAACATGTCCTCCAAGAAATTCAAATGACTGAGCATATTGGAAACAGATAAATGTGACCCATACTGAAGAAAAAAAGGTAATCAATGAAAACCAGCCCCTAGAGATCTAGATGTTAGAATTAAGACAGAGGAGTTTTTAAGTAGATATTACACATATGTCCAAGGACAAACAGATTCAAGGGATTAGATCTGATAGACTACCTGAAGAACTATGGATGGAGGTTTGTAACACTGTATAGGAGGTGGTGATCAAAACCATCCCCAAGAAAAAGAAATGCAAAAATGCTAAATGGTTGTCAGAGGAGGCCTTTCAAATAGCTGAAAAAAAGAAGTGAAAGGCAAAGGCAAAAAGAAAAGATACATGGATCTGAATGCAGAATTCCAGAGAATAGCAGGGAGAGATAAGAAAGCCTTCTTAAATAAACAATGCAAAGAACTAGAGAAAAACAATAGAATGGGAAAGACTAGAGATCTGTTAAAGAAAATTAGAAATACAAAAGGAAAATTTCATGCAAAAATGGGCTCAATAAAGGACAGAAACCATATGGTCCTAAAAGAAGCAGAAGATATTAAGAAGAGGTGGCAAGAATATACAGAAAAACTACAAAAATGGTCTTAGTAACCCAGATAACCACGATGGTTTGATCACTCACCTAGAGCCAGACATCCTGGAGTGTGAAGACTTAGGATGCTTTTACTATGAGCAAAGCTAGTGGAAGTGATGTAATTCCAGCTGAGCTATTTCAAATCCTAAAAGATGCTGCTGTGAAAGTGCTGTGCTCAATATGCCAGCAAATTTGGAAAACTCAGCAGTGGCCACAGAACTGGAAAAGGTCAGTTTTCATTCCAACCCCAAAGAAGGGCAATGCCAAAGAATACTCAAACTACTGCATAACTGCACTCATTTCACATGATAGCAAGGTAATGCTCAAAATCCTTTAAGCTACACTTCAGCAGTACATGAACCAAGAATTTCCAGAGTACAAGCCAGATTTAGAAAAGGCAGAAGAACCAGAGATCAAATTGCCAACATCTGCTGGATCACAGAAAAAGCAAGGGAATTCCATAAAAACATATACTTCTACATCATTGATTATGCTAAAGCCTTTGACTCTGTGGATCACAACAAACTATGGAAAATTGTTAAAGAGATGTGAATACCAGACCACCTTACCTGCCTTCTGAGAAACCTGTATGGAGGCCAAGAAGCAACAGTTAGAACCAGACATGGAACAATGGACTGGTTTAAAATTGGAAAAGGAGTATGCCACGGCTGTATATCGTCACCCTGCTTATTTAATTTCTATGCAGAGGACATCATGCAAAATGCTGGACTGGTTGAAGCATAAGCTGGAATCAAGATTGTCGGGAGAAACATCAATAACCTCAGACATGCAGATGACACCACACTAATGGCAGAAAGTGAAGAGGAACTAAAGAGCCTCTTGATGAAGGTGAAAGAGAAGAGTAAAAAGCTGGCTTAAATCTCAACATTCAAAAAATGAAGATTATGGCATCTGGTCCCCTCATTTCATGGCAAATGGATGGGAAAAAAATCAGAACAGAGACAGACTATTTTCTTGGGCTCCAAAATCACTGCAGATGGTGACTGCAGCCATGAAATTAAAAGATGCTTGCTCTTTGGAAGAAAAACTATAAAAAACATAGACAGCATATTAAAAAGTAGAGACAAGACTCTGCTGACAAGGTCTGTATTGTCAAAGATATGGTTTTTCCAGTAGTCATGTATGGATGGAGATGGACCATATGGATGGAGTGCTGAAGAATTGATCCTTTTGACTTGTGGTTTTAGAGGACTCTTGAGAACCCCTTGGGCTGCAAGGAGACCAAACCAGTCAATCCTAAAAGAAATCAACCCTGAATATTCATTGGAAGGACTGATGCTGAAGCTGAAGCTCCAATACTTTGGCCACCTGATGTGAAGAGCTAACTCACTGGAAAAGACTCTGATGCTGGGAAACATTGAGGGCAGGAGGAGAAGGGAATGACAGAGGATGAGACTGTTGGATGGCATCACTGATTCAATGGACATGAGTTTGCACAAACTCTGGGAGATAGTGAAGTACAGGGAAGCTTGATGTGCTGCAGTTCATGGGGTCACAAAGTCAGTGACTGAAGAACAAAAGATATAGAGGAAAATATCCTCATAATGAACAGGGACATGTTACATTCCATCCAGGGTCAGTTCAGTTCAGTCGTGTCTCTTTGCGACCCCATGGACTACAGCACGCCAGGCTTCCCTGTCCATCACCAACCCTCAGAGCTTGCTCAAACTTATGTCCATGGAGTCAGTGATGTCATCCAACCAGTGGTTGGTGATGCCATCCATCCAGGTAGTGATGCCATCCATTTTAGGTAGAGATGATCAATATGCAGATATGGGCAACTGATTCAAGGTCTAGAAGAGACATAGCAAACCAGGCCAGAAGCTACAGTACCCACTGATATCACTTTAGTTCAGATTCTCATTGTTCCTCATGTAGACTATTAAAACAGCCTCATAAAGTATCCTCCTGCTTCTGGTTGCTATTTACTATGACCACCACCCCCAAACACACACATAGACCTTAAGCATATCTACACTGATTCGAGAGTTAACTTTTAGAACACAGCTTTAATCAGGATTTTACTGGTTGCAAGTTGACAGAAATACAGCTTTAACTTGAGCACAAGAGGGAATTTATCCGAAGTCTCACCTAATCATACTAAGGGCAAGAATGTAGACGGGTCTCAAGGGCAAGACCAGAGACTTGAATACCAATAGGAATTTACAGTTCATTCTGCATGCTGATTGCATTCTCTCAGACATACTTCCTCCTTGGAGTTGTAAAAGGGCCACCAACAGTTTCTGGCCACACATATACAAGCTGTCCCACAAAAGTGGGACACAGTATTTCCCCCCATTTAAACTGGTGAAGAGAAGGATTCAGATTGTTCTGATTTAGATCACATGCCTGTACATCAACCCAGCAGATCAACTGTGACTAGGGAGATGACAGGGTACTTGGATTGGAAGCCCAGACTAAAATGGGCATTGCTGGACAGGAGAAGAGCAGTACTCCCCTAAAACAGAGGGTTTTGCTTCCAAGGGAGGGGAAAGACCTTGGGCAAACAAAAATAATAAAGGCCTAACAGGTTTCCTGTGTTCTCTACCTCCACTGCTGGTTAACCCCATTCTCCTTGCAATCACTCATGGCAGAGTTCTGGAATTTCTCTTACAGCAGACTGCCAGTTGTCCCCAATATCTGTTCTTTCTTTCCCTCCACCCAGCATTTTGCTGCTTAGAGCATGAACATGATGGCTGGAGCTCTATCCTGTACCATGGAGACAAGTGCCACATTGTGGAGATGACTGGCCATTAAGCCTTTTAAGGTTTAATTAATTTTTTTCTTTAATGAAAGAGAAATGAATTTCTATCCTGTTTGTTGTTTAGTTGCTCAGTCATGTCCAACTCTTTGTAAGCCCACCAGGCTCCTCTGTCCATGAGATTTCCCAGTCAGGAATACTGGAGTATGTGCTGAAGGAAGAATAGTTCCTTCTCCAGGGGATCTTCCTGACCCAGCGATCAAACTCATGTCTCCTGTTTGGCAGGTAGATTCTTTACCAATGAGCCACCACAGAAACCTTCTACCCTGTTTAATACGTTCTTGTTTTTGGATGCCTGATAGCTCATAGCTGAACCTAATCCCAACCCCCTCGCTCCTCACATCTAATCAAGGCAAAACAATCTAGAAGTTAAGAGTGGCATGCAGTGAAACAGGTTAGAGTGGATTAGAACCAACCACCTGGACTTGAATCGAGGCTCTGTCATTTACCAGCTCTCTGACCACCTGCAAATTATTTTCTCTCTCTATCCCTCAGCTTCCTCAGGCGTAAAGTGAGGTCAACAATGTTATCTACCCCATAGATGGGTTGTGAGAATGATGTGAGATAATTCATATAAGCACTGAGAGTAGTGCCTAGCTCATAATAAGGGCTCAATGAGTGTTAGCTACCATCTTCAGTGCCTGCCAATTTTACCTGCTAAAGATCCTATTCCTCCACAACATCCTCTGCAGCATCCTGCCTCGGCCTGATCTTTCTGGAACACTCCACTCTGACCAGGTCACTCCTTTTTGAAACTTCTCGATGACTCTGCATTATCTACAGAATGAAGGCTTAACTCTATAGGTGGGTGACCAAGGCCCTTTTGGATGAGGGACCAACTGGCCTTTTGATGCCCACCACCTGCCACTCCTTCACGATTGACCACACTCTGGCCACAGCACTGAGCTGTCTTCTGTCACCACCTCTTTACCTACCTGAAGAGTGTCAACCACTTCCACTCCCTCTCTCCTGAACTTTTTCCTCTTTTGGCTCCTGTGGCACCACACACTCTCCTGATTTTCTTCCAATCTCCTTGGCTGTTCCTTTTTCATCCTTCTCATGGGCTTCTTATTCTCCACTCCCTTGGTAAGTGTCAGAGTTCCCTCCTGAGTCCACTCCCTGCATGTCTTCTCACCAGTGAGGGCATCCATCATCAGGCTTTCAAGCTCTACCTTCATGCTGTGTTCCCCTGATCTTTCCTGACCTCCGACCTGGGCTCTGGTCTCACACATTCTCCTGAAGATCACACAGACACAACTTAGCATCTCCAAAATGGAACTCATCTTCCATCCCAAACTTGGTCTCCTCTTTGCTCTGAATCTATCTGTGGCACCACCATCATCAAAGCCAGAAACACTCATTCTCTACATTTAACAAATTACCAAATACCACCAAACTCACATCCCCAGTAACTCTCCAGTTTGTCTTCTCATCTCCATACTCAGCACCATTGCTTTAGTCTGGCTCTCCAGCAAAAGTCCCTTCTCTGCCTCCAGTCTCACATGCCTTCAATCCAAATAATGACATGTGCCACCAAACTACAGTGATAGTCTTAACATGCTGCTGCCCTGCTTGAAACTCTTCACTGGTTCCCCCTGCCCACTCGGAAAAAATTATTCCTTTCCCCATAGTTGTTAAACACCTACTATGTACCAGGGGCTATGCTTGGTATTAAGAATACAATGTTGACTACAAACTGGTCCTTGCCTTCTGCCACTTATCTGGTATGACAGAAAAAAACACACATTAATACACACTAAGTCTTGTGATAGATATATTCACAGAGCATCATAGAAGCAAAAGACTGAGTTCCTTGAAGCAGAGACTTGTGTCTTTCTTATCTTTGCATGCCCAACAACTGGTACCAGGTCTGATTCAACAGAGAATTGTTTTTGAATACTCAACAGATTATCTCTTGATCCTCAGTTTCCCTCTATGTAAAATGGCTCATAGCTCACATATCAAATGAATTAAATGTATGAACTCTGTTGGAATCCTGATTTGAATTAACCAAATGCAGTTTTTAAAACGAGACATCTAGGTAAATTTGAACAGTAGGTATATATTTGATAATATTAGGGTATTATTTCTTGGGGGATTTAAAAGTGTTATAATGATACTGTGATGTTTAAATGCCCTTATTTTCTTTAGAGAAATGTAAGAAAGCATTTAAAAATGAAATTATGCAATGAAAAATTATCTGGGATTTGCCTGAAAATAATTCAGTGGTGTTGGGTGGGGGGTATCACAGAAATAAGACTGGCAGTGCCTATGTTAATAACTGCTGAAGCAAAATAAATGACAAAATAATCTCTCAGGGTTCTGTTGCCATTCAACAATGTGACTATTTACCATTTCTGATATAGTGCCCGCTGTTTCAAAAAAGGGTAGTTTTGCTTCTCCCCTTACTCTTTTAGTTTCATCCAGGGCAGAACAGGAGAAACAAGGCAGTGGTGTGGGAGTCAGAAGTCCAAAACGCAAAGAACTGGAAATATACTCAGCATTGTCTCTCTCTCTCCTCTCACCTGATAAAGACAGAGTAGCTTAAGCATCAGATGGCTCTCAAGTAGCCTTGGGTTTGGACATGAGTTTGAGCAAGCTCCAGGAGTTGGTGATGGACAGGGGAGTCTGGTGTGCTTCAGTCTATGCAGTCACAAACAATTGGACATGACTGAGTGACTGAACTGAACTGAGCCTTGGGTAAGAATGGCAGTGCTCCAAAACCAGCAGAACAAGAGGGAAGAAGTCATAGCTTGAGTTTCTGTGGAGAGGAGGGAAAAACTGCGTCAGATAGAAACATGAACTCTTGGCTGGAAAGGGCTCCTCTGCTGGTTGAATCCCTTTGTAGTAGTGCCACCTGGTGGCTCCATAGCATAGCTTTACCTAGTTCCAGGATGTGGTTGACTCTCATAGATCTGACTGCACTGAAAATTCTAGAAGGGAACAGCTCTTCTCAACCAAATGTTCCCTGAACTGCTCAGAGTTAAGCATAACATACCCTATCCCTCATGCACTGAAAAGTGCCTTGTATTCAATCTCGGTTACAGCACTTCTCGCTGTATTAGGATCGTTTACCAGTGGGCATTCATTCACCCAACAAATTTGTTTAAGGCATGGGAGACACAAAAGTGAACAAAACTAATTCAGTATTTAAACAGTTAAATGTGTAAACACAGAATTAAAAAACTCACCTTCCAGTCTTCCCTGGTGGTCCAGTGGTTAAAAATCCGCCTTGAAACACAGAGGACGCTGGTTCGATCTCTGATCAGGAAGATTCCACGTACCATGGGGCAACTAAGCCCCCACACTACAATTATTGAGACTGTGCTCTAGAGCTGTGGAGCCACAACTACTGAAGTCTTTGTGCCCTAGAGCCCGTGCTCTGCAACAAGAGAAGCCACTGCAATGAGAAGTCCATGCACCACAATGAAGAGTAGGCTCTGTACTCCAAAACTAGAAAAAACCCGTATGCAGCAAAGACCCAGTGCAACCAAAAGTAAATAAATAAATAAATTTAAAAATACTCACCTTTCCACCCACTATAAAATTAGCTTTAACATTTGTTGAACATTTACTATATGCCAGGAACTTAGCTAAGTCCCCTATATACACATCTAACTCTTACAGTAATTCTATGAGACAGATATTATCCCATGGAGGCACAGAAAGGTTAGGTAAATTGCCCAAGGTCATAGAGCTAGGAAATGTTAGGGGCTCAGATTCAAGCCTGACCTGGGGCCAGAGCCCATGCTTTAGTTAAAGAAAAATATGACTGGAGGGCTGCCCTGGTGGCTCAGTGGTAAAAAATCCATCTGCCAATGCAGAAGACATGAATTCCATCCCTGGGTTGAGAAGATCCCACATGCCATGGAGCAACTAAGCCTGTGTGTCACAACTATTGAGCCTGTGCTCTAGAGCCCATGAGCTGCAACTAGTGAGCCCAAGTGCTGCAACTACTGAAGGCAGAGCACTCTAGAGCCTGTGTTCTGCATGGAGAGAAGCCACCACAATGAGAAGCCAGTGCACTACAACCAGAGTAGCCCCCATTCGCCACAAGAGAAAGCCCAAACAGCAATGAAGATCCAGCATAGCCATAAATAAGTAAATAAACAAACAAACAAACAAACAAACAAACACAATTTTAAAAATAACTACTGGGGATTTCTTGACGGTCCAGTGGTTAGGACTCTGAACTGTACTGCAGGGAGCACAGGTTCAATCCCTGGTTGGGGAACTAAGATATCGCATGCCACACAGTGTGGCCAAAAAAACCCCCCAAAGCCCCCCAAAATACTACTGGGCCTCCACCCTCCCCAATGCCTGCTTGATGATCAAATAAATAAAAACCTTGGACCTTTGAAACCCAAGGAGTTAGAAAAGCTCAGGTAGTAGAATCTACTCCTAAGAAGTTAAACAGATCCAAAACTTGATTCCATCACTCTGAATCTCATCTAGTTCCTAGGGGGTCTCTCTGTGGGATCCCTGCCTTTATTGCAGCCTTCCACTCCCTGCCCCCAAAGCGAGTATTTTCTGTTTAATGTTCTGTCTCTGAACATAAACAAAAAATATAATCCTTCTTAATGTAATGGAAACATGCTGGCATTTTCAATAATATGCTACCAAATTCTAAAGATGAACTGAACAGAAATAAACAAAGGAATTGCAGGAAGCATTTAAAAACAATTTCACTTCTGAAACTACCTACATGGTTTCCAGATTTGTGCATTTGGTATCTGGATTTGTTGCTGGACTCAGATGAGAAATCTGGGGACTTCTCTGGTGGTCCAGTGGCTGACTCCATGCTCCCAATGCAGAGTTCGATCCCTAGTCAGGCAACTAGATTCCATATGCCACAACTGAGAGTTCTCATTCCGAAACTAAAGCTCCTGCATGCTACAATCAAAAGATCCTTCATGCCACAATAAAGACTGAAGATCTTGAGTTTTGCAACTATTTATAAGACCGAGTGCAGCCAAATAAATATTTTTAAAAATCTGCCTGCCTTAGGGATATATGTACAACATGATGAATACAATTAATACTGCTGTATGTTACATATGAAAGTTGTTGAGAGTAAATCCTAAGTATTCTCATCACAAGGAAAATTTTTTTTTAATTTAATTCTGTACCTATATGAGATGATGAATGTTCACTAAACATTGTGATAATCACTTCATGATATACATAAATCATATCATACTGTTTATCTTAAACTTTATTGCAATTATATCTCAAAACTGTAAGAAAAAATATATTGCTGCCCTTTGCTGAGCAGTTGCTTTGCACAAGGCACTGTATTTTGCATTATTGATGCATTATCCCATTGAATCTTCTCACCAAACCTGTGAGGCAGGAAGGTATTCCTATGTCACAGATAAAGATAATAGGGCCAGAGAGATTAAATTGTCCAGGATCACATAGCTAATAAGCAGAAATCCTGGGACTTGAACTTAAGCAGTCTAACATCAGTAACTGAATTCCTAACCACTAGGACATACTGCCTCCCTCCTTATTTATTTATTTTTTTTATTATTGCCTAGTCTCTGGCTTTCCCCCAGGGATAAGCCTGAGGTATATTCCTACAGTGGCTCAGTGAGGGGAATTAATTAGATATTTCAGTTGGTTACATTAAATTTAACTGCTTTCCTACTCAACACACATTTTTTTCAACTAACCAACATGCACCAATTCTTACAGGATAAGATCAAACCCATGCCTCCTGCAGGAAGCCTTCCCTGATTTCTCCAGCCCACTACTCATTGGTTCATTCAATAAGCAATTGTTTCCCCCCCTTTAACATCATTCTCCCCCAAATTCCTTCTAAAGGAATGGTCCATGTCCAATAAACTTTCTGGAGAATATGGAGAACAGTAAAGAGGAATTGGTGGCTCATCTGTGGAGAAGTTTGGCTCAAATACACCTCCAAGTTTTTAGGTGCCTATGAGCATAGAATGAAATGACTTAGAAAAGATATGTTGGAGAAAAGACAACATTAGCTCCTCTGGCTACCCATAGTTTTCACCCACTGGCCTGCTCATGATCACAGCCCAGCCTCAGTCCAGAACAGACTTTGATTTCTCAAGACACAGGAAGAGGCCATCTTCAGCATTGTCATTGTTTGTCCAAATCTTGTCTACTGCTAAGAAGTTCTGACACAAACATTCACATAAGATTGTTGTTTTAGATAGAGATAGGGCTTTCCTGGTGGTTCACATGGTAAAGGATATGCCTGCAATGTAGGAGACCGAGGTTCAATCCCTGGGTCCGATCCCTGGGTCAGGATGATCCCTTGGAGAAAGAAATGCTAACCCACTCCAGAATTCTTGCCTGCGAAATCCCATGGACAGAGGAGCCTGGTGGGCTACAGTCCATGGGGTCACAAAGAGTCAGACATAACTGAGTGACTAACACTTCCTTAGATGGAGATCTGATTGTACCCTAAAGAGAATAAAAATCTATGAGTAGGAGCTTTCAGAATGGCATGGTAGGAACCTCTGGAAATCTACTTTTGCAAAACAGCAATGAGAACACTTGCAAAACGTGTTAAAATCAACGTTTTTAGAATTCTGGAAATGATTAAAAAGTTTGCAGACACCAATCTGAGGAGCATTTATTCAAGAAAACTACTGAGTGTGGGGAATTCTGGTGGTTAGGACTCTGTGCTTTCACTGCTGAGCGTGCTGGTTCAAACCCTGGTCAGGGAACTAAGATCCCTCAAGCTGTGAGGTGTGGCTAAAAGAAAGAAAGAAAGAAAACTACTGAGTCTTGTTAAGAACACTGATCTTTGAGGCCTTTTAACTTGCCCTATTTCAATCCCCCTCTCTCTTGACCAGTGGTAATCTTGAAAATCAGCAGTCTCACACCCATGGTAAAAGGCCATGAAAGCCAGTAGCCTAACAGTCACTGGTGGGGGCAGAGTGAGTGAAGTGAAGTGAAGTCGCTTAGTCATGTCAGACTCTTTGCGACCCCAAGGACTGTAACCTACCAGGCTCCTCCATCCATGGGATTTTCCAGGCAAGAATACTGAAGTGGTTTGCCATTTCCTTCTCGAGGGGATCTTCCCGACCCAGGGATCAAACCTAGGTCTCCTGCATTGCAGGCAGATGCTTTACTGTCTCAAAACAACCTGAAAAACTACCATCCTCAGAGCACTATCACTATTTGATCTGTCAGCTCCCAATGAAAAAGCCTCCTTCCCATGACTTGCAGTTATTTAACATGACTCAGCAGGACGTGAGATAGTGTGAAAAGCCCCATCTACGGCGGCATTTGCCAAACAGTTTCAGTGGTAATTGTTTAACATCACAGCTGCCTAAACCATGATACCTGTTAGGATAAATGTGCTAAGTCACTTCACTTGTGTTAGACTCTGCAACACTATGGACCATAGCCCACCAGGCTACTCTGTCCAGGGGGTTATCCAGGCAAGAACACTGGAATGGGCTGCCATGCCCTCCTCCAGGGAATCTTCCTGACCCAGGGATTGAACCCATGTCTCTTATGCCTGCTGCATTAGCAGGCATGTTCTTTTCACCAGCACCACCTGGTGGAAAAATAAGAGACTGATCAAAAAACTTAAGATTTGGGGAATGAGATATCTAAAAAGGTCTTTGAAAAGCCACAATACATTCTTAAGGATCTAAAAGTCACACATGTCAAGGGCTGTGTACCTGCCCAAGAAAGACATAGAAGGCTCCCATCTCTCACCTCTGGCTAAACTTGAGTCTGTGAAAACAAGAAGTGAAAGCTAAGACAGAATTGTGAACTGCTTACGAGAGCACTGGGGGGGATTCCCTGGTGGCTCAGATGGTAAAGACTCTGCCTGCAAAGGATACTTGTGTTTAATCACTGGGTTGGACGAGTAGCAACACACTCCAGTACTCTTGCCTAGAGAGTCCCATGGATAGAGGAGCCTAGTGGACTATAGTCCACAGGGTCACAAAGAGTCAGACATGACTGAGTAATTAACACTTTCACTTTCACTTTACCAGAGCACTAAGAGTGTACCACAATACATGCAGAGCTGGTTTGTAGTAAGTGGGAGGGTTATTGGTTCAAGACACTGTAGAAAAACTTTCACCAATTTTTAGCTGACAGCTAAGCTACAAGCTTAGTGATGTACCTGGGCAAGACTTCAGTGGCCACACACAAAAGGAAAAACAGAATTTACAGAATTCAGTTCAGTTGCTCAGTCATATCTGACTCCTTATGACCCCATGGACTGCAGCACGCCAGGCTTCCTTGTCCATCACCAACTCCTGGAGCTTACTCAAACTCATGTCCATCAAGTCAGTGATGCCATCCAACCATCTCATCCTCTGT